TAAGAAAACAGCTAAACCTTTCTATGATGAGTTCTTCACTTAAAAATGGAGGATAATAGCAGCACACAAGTCGGGAAGCTGCGGAGTTAACGAACATATAAAATACAACAGGTGATAGTGTAGGTACATGACAATGGCTTAATTATTTATTTTATCAATTACAGTTTCCTCTTAGTATTCCAGGGCCCTCCCACACACCCTCACTCTTGATATTCAATTCCTTATTATAAAATGGTGCAGTGTTTGCTTATAAATTAAACTCTCCTATAGTGTGCTTTTCTTGCTTCTAGTATCCAGTCAATGAAAACATCACAGAAATAGTTGCCACACCGGATTGCTTAGAGATTAATGACAAGAATAAAAACTGTGCATGTTCCCTGCACACTTTTTATTTCAGAGACTGTAAACCTGAGTTGGTTGGATCCTTGGATGTGGAAGCTGTGCAGACAGAAGGCCAATGGCATTGGTACTCTCATCCGTACAGTGCTGCATTCTGGGTACCCGGGATGAGAGCAGCACGATATAACCTCAACTATTTGTAGAACAAATGTTCTCGGGCCGTCTGCTGGTATAAATGCCTACTGGTAATTTTCCACTGGGAATTTGTTAAAATAAAACATGAAGTCCTACAGTACACTGGCAACATACTCTTTCTGTCTTTTGACTCCAGAAAAGGAATGTTAGTGGAGCAACATCGTCATCTCCTTGGCTTCCTTGGGAACCAGGAAAAGCCTTGGGGAAGAACTGTGTTCATTGTGTTTTCTGTTTGCCTGGGAGAGACCCTACCAGTAGAGCAAAAGAGATTGCGACCAAACACCAAGGACCAGTGATCCTGTCATTGATTGTAGCATCCCTGAGGGTAGAACAGGATCACAGAGTGATCAGGTCACCTAGAATAGACTCATTTGGGGGAACATTCTGAAACACAGGGGCCCTCTGTCTGCATGGGTCATCATCACTGCTGCATAGCTGACACTATTTAAAAAGACTCACTGGTTTTCATTTAATACACTGTTACAAGGGGAGAATTTTCCACCAAGCAAGTTCAGCAGGGTTAGCATCTTACACATCAGTCAGACATACAGTTGCTTTGGAACCTGCCAGTGTTGAATGCACTCACCTTCTGGAAAACATACATGGATCTACTACCAGATGCCAGAGTATTACAATATAAGAGATGATAAAGTGGGGGAGTGTGGCGTTCCCTGGCCCTCTGGGCTGGGGCCAGAGTTTGCTTGCTGCCAAGTCTGTCACACTGAGCTCCATCTCTGGGACACATGCAGTGGATAAAGAACACCAACTCCTGCAGGTGCACATGATCGCAAATATGCATTCACAAAATAAATACATGTAATAACATCTTTTAAATGAGACGGTGGGAGTACTCATCCCTTTTGATCCTCGACCCTGAGTGGGCACACCATGTGTCCCTTTGCCCTCTGCCTTCTGCCATGTGAGCAAGAGCACCAGCTTGGAAGCAGTGAGCTGTCAGCAGACCAGTCTCCTGGGCTTCCCACTTCCCCACCTCTAGGACCAGGAGAAATAAATGTCTATTATTCATAAACTATCTAGTGGGAGATGCAGTCAAGTTGCCCAATCTTGGGAGCTCAGTTACAGCAACAAACAGACTAAGACAAAGTCTCAGGAGATTCTGGAAACCACAGTGTGTGTGTGTGTGTGTGTGTGTGTGTGTGTGTGTGTGTGTAGTTGCTGAGGAGGTCAGAGGACACCCATGGGTTTTGACCCTCTTTATTTTGAGACGGGTCTCACTGGTCTTAAGTTCTACAAATAGGCTACTCTGACTGGCAAGCAAACCCTGTGGAGCTTCCCGTCCCGTCTCTGTCTCTCCAGCCTGGGATAGCGAGTGTGCACCACCACACCCATGCCTCTCCAGCCTGGGATTACAAGTGTGCACCACCACACCAGCATTGTAGGTGGCATCTAAAGATCATGCTCAGTCCTCAAGCTTGCAGGACAAGCACTTTACCAAATGAGACATCTCCCCTGCTCCACCAGGCTGATTTTCAAGGTGCTAGAACAGATCAGGGTTCATTCAAAACTTTTGCCCTTTATAAAGAAAAAGAGAGATTCCGTTCCATGTTTTGGGCTCTTCCTTTTCCCTGTGAGATAGGGATGAAACAGAAAAGAAATAAGAACAGAGGAGAAATGTGGAGATAGAAGAGGTTGAAGCCATCAGAATTCGCATCAGCTTCCTTGTAAAGATGCCATCCGCTCTGGACAAAGGCAGGTTTGGGTTGCAGTCTCAAGATGTGTCAACAAGATTTAGGAAGCCCTCGCTCAGCCCTCTCTTCTTCCTTGCAATTCTGCCCCATTAGAACTGATTCTATCTGAGAACATTATCAGCGAAGAAGGCTCAGTGATACTTCTGTGGGCAAAGCCTTGATCCCAGAAAATGCCGTCTCTGGTTCCTTAGCCTCTTCAGGGATGACTGGGAAATGTAGACCATCATTTTAGAGTTTTGAAGAGGAAAGGCTCATGGGAAGTCTGTCCATTTGTGATGTACTGCATACCGGTAGGAGGGACTAAGTGGAGACACACCTCACATGGGTCTTCCTGTAGGCGGGGCTAAGCGGGAACCATGGCGAAGACTGCCCCATCTGCTATTTCTTTCTGGTCCTGTGAAGCACCACAGATTGACCATCGCTATCTCAACTCTGCTTTTTAAAAAGCAGTAGTAGTCTCCCAGTAGCTATCATGAAGGGTTTAACATCTCAGGGTAAAATCGAAGGCCTCTACCCATCAGCTGAGCCTGCACTTTTTCCACAGCCGTCTAATCCTGCATCCTTTATGGTCTGGTCTACCCTCCCCCTTCCTCCTCTCCATTTCTCTCCCCAGCCCCTCTCATGTACTGAGACAGAATATTGGGGTGGCCTCTAATTCAGTACGTAGCCCAGGCTTCTTCAGACTTGTTGCCATCTTCCTGTCCCAACCTCCTAAGCTCTGGACCATTCTCTCTTCAGTTCTTGCTTCCACCTACAAGCCCAGCTTTCCCTTGTACTAGAAAACACTCCTGGACCTCTGGACCCAAGTCAGCCTCCCCTCATCTATGCTTCCAGGACATTCCTCATCATCTTCCTCATTCTGTGCGTACATACACATTCTCCCACCTTTCTGTTCTATTATAAATTCAGTGGCAGCATCTGTGCCTTTCTCCATCTGACACTCCATGGTGCATCATATTCTAACATAAAATCTGCCCTCTGTGGAGTCAACTAGATGTGGGTTTGAACTGCTGGGGGAGGAGCTGAACGTGCTTCAATCGCTCTTGTGTTTGCTGCCCCTCAACAAGTTATTATAATGACTATTTACATATTTACACACCACTGATGCTGTATTGGGTACTGTTAAGTCACCTGGACATGGCCAGAGTGCAGGAAGGTTGCAGCAGTATGCAAATGCTGTGCCATTTTACACAGCAGTCTTACACATCTGCAGAACTTGTCTGTGGCAGGCCCTGGGTCAACTCCCCAGAACTGAAGGATGGCTGGGTTAAGTGAAATGAAGCCTTCTGTTGGTAATTTCAGAAGTTGGTGCTTTGAAAAATGTATTCACAGGTATGATGCATACCTGTAATCTCAGCCTTTAGGATGTGGGAGCAGGAGAACTGGCATGAATTTAGCGAAGGAGAGTTTTATATATAACAAGAACCTTGTCTCAAAAGCCAAGTATATGTGTATTTATTCGAGTACATGCTTAGAAATAAATAATAAATAAGTACCCATGTGAGAATTGGTTGTGCTTTCTGCATTCATGAAACACAGATGCTCTAAATACGTATATAAGCCACGCATCTATTTATTCACTCACTCACTCATCCATTTTGTCACTCAACACAGATTTACTGACTGCTACCCTATATGAGGCACACGGCTTCAGGCCGTGGTTCACATCCCCAGATCAATGTTCACATCACTGTTTCCCTTTACTCCGGATGAGAGAGTGAAGTGCTTTTCCTCAGAGCATCATTGTTGGCCAAGAATAAAGTGTGCCAGAGATGGCTTCACAGTTGTGGGCTTTTGATGACACACGGAACTGAATTGAATGTGACGTGAACATTGCTAGAGAACGCTGACTTTGCCAGATTCCGCTTTGGCACACTGTTTCGAGTTTGCTTTAAGAATATCTGTAGGAGCCAGGTATACCTTTAATCACAGCACTCAAGAAGCAGAGGCAGAAGGATGCCTGTGAGCTCGAGGAGTCTGGTTTACATCGTAAGTCCCAGGCCAGAGGGCTAAGCACTGAGACGCTGTCTCAAAAATTAAACAAAGATGGTAAGCGATTACATTTCTCCCCTTTCCCCTTCTCTCTTTTGTCTGCATCTCCCCCCCCCCCCGTATTCATCAATAAAGAGCTTCGTGTCCAGTATTCCAGGCTGAAATAACCTTCAATGAAAATCGAAAATCAATCCTTTCTAGCTAATATGCTAACCGGAGAGAAAAACTCCAAGTTTTGTGAGCATGGAACACACACATAGAAGAAAAGGCGGTGCCTACAAATAAACAGTTATAGAAGTAGGTTGACCGGGGTTGTGTTTGTTTCTAAATAATCAGATGACTTCTTAAAGTTGCTGTATGCAAGTTACTTCTGAGCGACATTGTAAGGGAGTATCAATTGCCCTGGATCTACAATCTATCTAACCAGATAGATGCATCTGAATCCCTTTATCCTTTTCTTCGAGCTGGAGGACACTCGAGTTTACCTCATCCCTCTCTTTGCGTGGGTCACTGAGCATCTCCCAGCAAGGAGCCACTAGACCTTTCCAGACCTCTTCGCGGGTCTGGAGGCAAAGGCATTTCCTGCTTGCACTGGCTAGCCTCTCTGCCCTCCCATCTCTCTTCTCCCACAGCCCATCTGCGCCTCCTCTCCGCTCCCTTCGTTGCCACCCCGCCCTCAGCTGGGCGCTCCCAGCCCCTCCCGCACGCGTCTGTATTTGGAGCTGCCGGAAGCCGCGGGCGACTCTCCCCGCGAGCAGCGTGACCGGCTCAGGCTCCCGTGCAGGGGGGAGGCGGAGGCAGCGCAGGGCCTGCGGGGAGGAGGGCTCCAGTGACCGAAGCCGGCTTTGCATCACCGAAACCGGGACCTGGGTTCCGCAGCAGGTCAGACTGGAGCGCGGGGGACCAGGGAAAATGGAGTGGGGCAGGGGTGAGGTGGGGAGGGCTTGCTTGGGCTCCGGGCGGGCGCTCTTAAGTTAAGCGCCCCGGGTCGGGTGGGAGATGGCCAGGACGCAGGAAAGAAAGGCTACATGGGCTCAGGGACTTGAGGCCACCCAGATGTGAGGACTCGAGATGGGAAGACCCGAGATGCCTGCAATCCAGTGCCAGGCCGGTCCTCATCTGGGTCAGTACAGCCCAGTGCTCCAGCTGCTCGCCTGACGCTGGGACCGCGAATTCCTGGCTGGAGGGCCACCCATAGCCTGTCAGCCAATGGCCACTGTACCTTGGGGAGGTCTTAAGTTCTAGGGGTCTCCAGTACTCTACTTTGAGCCTCCCAAGGGTCCCTGGGTAGGTTTCATTGAAATGGATCTTGCCAGTGCCACCTCTATCCGAAGGTGCTGGAAGGAAAGAACCTGGCTTCTCTGCAGAACCTGACTTGAGGCCATGAGTCACTTCTAAAAAATGCAAAGGCAACTGAGGCTTTGAAGGGACGGCTCTGGAAATGGTACTCTGCAGCCTCTCTCTCTCTGACTGCCCCATAGGGGCTTCTTTGTGACATCAACAATCTTGTCATCACCTTTAGGCTGACGGTCTACCACGCACGTGAGAATATTCTCATCAGCATCACAAGAGGTTGAGCCTTAGCGATATCGGAATCCATGCATTAAGTGAGTCTGTTTTTTAGGATGTTCTGGAGTTGTTATTTAGAATTAGATCCAAAAAGGCCAGGTGGAAGTGAACACTGAGCAGCCAAGAGAAGGTCTTTGCCTATGTAGTCAGGAGAATTCAGAAGCCCAGAAAATCAGGATAAATCTTGGTTTCTCAGAATTGCTTGCAGAGCACTGGGGTTTACTTCCTGGTTAGTTTGTTCGTAGGCAAGAGCCTCACTATGAAACTCCCACTCCTACTTCAGCCTCCAGTGTCTAGAGGCACAAATACCTCTAGCTTGTTTACTTTCTGTGAGGCAGAGTCTCACTCTGTACCCAGGCTGGCCAGGAACTCACCATTAGCCCAGGCTGACCTCAAACTCAGTCCTCTTGCTCCGGTTTTCTGAGGGCTGGATTACCAGTGTGCATCTCCACACCTGGCTAGGTACCTTTCAGCTTCAGGAATTTGCCTCAGAAGTCTTGCTGGCGTAGCTGGGACCGCTTGTGTGAGGTTGCAGTGATGTGTCCCTCTTTGGACTGATTTCTGGCTGCGGGGGTTTAATTAGAGCACAGGCCAGTGTTCTGAGAGTTCCTTAGCTCTGAATGGTTGTGCACTGAGACCACGTTAGAGTGCACACGGTTCTAGACTGAGCTCACCAAATGCAGGTGGGGATAATTAAATCAATATCTTGAAGCCAGAACGTGCTTTCTTGACAAGATTGCACATTGTTTTCAAGACTTATTTCTTTATGAATTCTCAAATCTGAAAAATCCCTGATGAAATTAGGATTAAGTGTTGACACAAAGATAAAGAGAAAAAGAAGCTGACTGTGCGAAATCATGACAATTACCAACCGGTCTTGCAAGCAGGGAGTAGGTTCTCTCCATTTGTCATTGAGACAAGGCATTGTTTGGCTCGTTGATGGGGCATGGTGTGGAGTTTGCTATACTTCCTGCTGAAGAGCGGAGAAATCAGAGGCTTTGCAGCCCATACAGTCTGTTGAGTAACTACTCATCGTGGCTGTCGTAAGTCAAAAGTGACCAAGGAGAGATGGGGTGGGGTCAGGGAGATGGCTCAGTAGTTAAAAGCACTAGCCACTCTTCCAGCACCCAAATGGCAGGCCATAACCCTCTTCTGGCTTCCTCAGGCACACAGGTACACAGCCATACATGTGGAAAAACCACTGTCATAGGCATAAAATAAATTTAAAGAAATAAAAAAGTGACCAAGGAGAATATGGACAAGGATGGTGCTACCAAGTTTCATTGTATTAACAGATATTGAAGTTTGAAGTTTAGTTGATTTTCACCAGTAATGGTTTTCCTCACTAACACACACACACACACACACACACACACACGAGAAGCAGAATTTTTTTCCTCCTGATAGTAGACAGCTCCTTCATACCTTGAGCCTCTGATGGCTAGATTCTCCAACTGCTTAAATTACACCCAGAAATTAAATACTCACAAGAACATTAACTTCTTTTAGACATGATGATGTTTTATTTTGCTTTGCATATCTCCTCACATATCTTTATTATGAGGGTTAGTTTATTCTTAATTCATTAACTACATATTATATATCAGAATATGCCCAGCCTATGTAAATTATGACCATCATATTTAAAGGAGCAGTCATGAATATATGGCCAAGTTTAAAAGTAGGACTTGAGAAGAGAGTCATGAAAAGATAACTCTCGAAGTGTAAATATATATCTATAAGATTGTATATCTGATAAGGGATCCATATCCACAATATATAAACAGCCTTTCTAATTTACTAATAAAAACATGGTGTAATGTCAAAATATGCCAAAGAAGATGGTAAATGACTATGAAAGCCATAAAAAGATGCCCAACATCATCATCCATCAAAACCACAATGAGATTTTATGTCATACTCACTCATGTGACTATAATTAAAAAAAACAGATAATCCCAAGTGTTGGTGAGAGTATGGAGGAATTGCAGCCTTCAAACACTGCTGATGGGAATATAAAATGCTGTGTTTAATTTGAAAACCCATGGTCATTTGAGTTAAATACAGTTACTGTATGACCTAGCCCTTCCACTATAATAAGTCTATTTTCAAAAGAAATGCGGACATAGCCATGAAAAAGAAACATGCACAGGGTTATCAGGATAGCTCAGTGGAAGAGCATTTGTGTTCTGTGAGCAAGGCCTTGAGGTCCAATCCCAGTGCTGCACACAAAAATAAATTTCGAAAAGGAACAACAAAAACTATATACAGGTTCATAGATGCACCAATGGTAACATCTAAGATGTGGGAACACACACACACACCCATCTACTGGTGAATGGACAGGAAAATATGAAGGATCCATTCAGTGGGTTATTATTAAAAGGAAGGCAGGGCTGGGGAAATGGCGTGGTGCTCAGTCAAGCTGAGCTGAGTTTGAGCTCCAGCACCTATATAAAAGCTGGCTGCAGTGGCTTGAGCCTGTAATCCCAGGGCTGGGGAAGCAGATTCAGTGAGAGACCCTGTCTCAAATAAAAGGTGGAGAGTGACTGAGGAAGACATCTGACATTGACCTCTGGCTTCCACACACATTAGCACATATATGTGCACACAGAAATGGGTGCAGTGCTGTACGTAACATGCTACATGTGTGAACCTTGATAGCATCTCGCTAAGAGAAAGAAGCCAATCACAAAAGACCACATATTGTGTGAATCAACTCCTAGGAAAATGTTTCTAAGAAATCCTTATAAACAAATCAGTTATTGGTTAGGATGGGGGAGGAGAAAAGAGTATGAGGTTTCTTTCTTTGTCTTTATAATTTTATTTTATTAGTTTTTCAGCCTTGGCTGTCCTAGAACTCACTCTGTAGACTAGGCTGGCCTTGAAATCACAGAGATTCACCTACCTCTGCTTCCCAAATGCTGGTATTAAAGGTGTGTGCTATTAACACCCTGATTATTTATTTTTAAATATTTTTTTTAGAATTTTGTACAAGCATGCAAAGTATTTTTACCACATTCATCTCCCACTCCTGATCTTAACTCCTCCCATATCCACCCCCTACTCTCTACCCTTTCCTAACTTTGTATCTTTTTTTTTTTTTTTGAATATAGTCCACTGATTCCAATTTGTGCTGTCCATATACTCATGGTGTAGGTCTATCTACTGGCTCGTTGTCAACCAACCAGGGCCCATATCCTTAAAGACTACTAACCCTCACCTAGAAGCCATCCACTGTCAATAGCTCCCATGACTTCCCAGCCCCCACCATGCTGATCATCCATGGCTGCTGGCAGTTTATGAGTACAGTGGTCCTGTCGTATCCAGAGGCCCCAAACCCAATGTATTTCCCTCTGTTCTCCATGGCCCCTGAGCCCTTTCTAAGCTGATGGAAAGGCTATAAAATCAGTTGACAGCTGCACAAGTCTGTGAGTTTTATAAAAATAATTGAACTGGACAATTTTAAGTGTGTGCATGTTGAATGTTGTGTATGTTGTATCTCAAGCAGGCTACTAGAGAGGGCTTTGGTGAGCGAACTAGACTGCCACCTGGCTTGTTCAGACCTTTGCCTTCCCTGTCCTGTGCTGCTCCCTAGTTCCCGCCAACCTTGAATTTTGTGTTACTCACCCTGATTTAATTGTGAAGCAATTTTATAGCATGTATCTCAAACAACCATAGTTTAGATCTTATTTTTTCCATTTATTTTAAAGGTTTATTCAATATTACCTTTATTCTCTATCACTTTTTGTTTGTTCATTTGGTTGTCTTTTGTTTTTTGGTTTTTTCTTATTTGTTTGCTTGCTTTTGAGGTAGCATCTCAGGTAGCCTAGGGCAGCCTTGCACTCCCTATAGAATTGAGAGTGTCCTTGAATTTGAGATCCTCCTGCCTCTGTCTCCCAGGTACTGGGTTTGCAGGTGTGGGCCACCATATCCTGCTAAATCTCACTTTCTTAAGACTCGCCATTACATTTTTAAGAAGAGCTTGTATTGTCACCCGGAAGTCATGTTATGATCTTTGACAGATATTCCCTGATCCCTATGGTCCTTCTCTAGCTGATGGGCACATAAGCTCTTTCCCATGGTATCCCCTAAGAAGAATGCTGCCTTGGATATCTTTTCCATGTGTCTTAAGAATGACTGTGTTCTCCCTCCCTCCCCCACTCTCTGTGATGTGCACATATGTGCAAAGGGTACATATTCACATGTGTGTGCAAATATGGAAAACAAAGAGCAACCTTAGATATTGTTCCTTACGTGCTGTCCATCTTGTGTTTGAGACAGAGTCTCTCACTGGCCTGGAACTTACCCAA